AGCCTCCGTGAACAGGGCTGGAGCAGATTCTGAGGAAGTAACATCACTGTCAGGTTCCGTTTCTGTGGTTATGACTAGACTGGATGATAGGCCCAAGGCGGTCTCTGTGGCCTTAGCAGGCAGACATGGATGCTTTGGAAGGGCCTTCATGGCCAGAACAGGATCAGAGGGCAAGACGTTACAGACAGGATCATTCTCCGTGGGCAAAACATGACTGGAGATCACATCCTTTTATGGCTCATATAGTATGATATAACGCTTTTTTTTTTTTTCATTGACCTTTATGAAAATGTCATGATATGATATGAAATTCAACAGGAAATACTCTTTCAATTTGGCAGCTGGAGAGATTAAAATGGGAATGAGGTCTTGGACAAAGGTTATGCATGAACACCAGATATTCTCCTCTGATTAGAACAAGGTCTCTTCTCTGTGCTTAATCAGGGTCCTGAGTGTCCACTCACGTCAGCACTGCCCTTCTTACCAGGAAGGAGACTCTTGCAGGCCAGGCCATAGAATAAGACTTTAACACATGTAATCTGTAGGATAATAAGATTAACAATACTTCACACAGTTATAATCTTCACAAACAGTGTGTCACGGTTTTGTCACAGCAGTTTACTAGAGAGAGACCCAGATGCAGAATGATCAAGGGAGTGAGGTTTATTGACAAGGCAAGGATTAACAGGGCTTATGTGAGAGTCCAAACAGTAGGAAAGGGCAGTCTGCTGGTCCTTGGTCAGACCTGGACAAAGTTTTGCTGAAGAACAAAGGAGATAGAGCAGAACCAGTCAATGAGAACACTGGATATCAGGCAGCAGCTTGAGAAACCAGGGCTTGATACTTTGAGCTGTAGTGATACCAGTCCAGTCAGATAGCCAGGTCTTGAGAACAGCAGCCAGGAGGGATTCAGGACACAGAACAGGAACAAACACAAGACATAACACGACACACAAGACAAGACCACAAGAGAGAACAAGCAGCAGCAAAATAACACTCTGACTACACTATGACTAGAAAGAAAAAAAAACAAAGAGAAACAAATACAAACTGCAGAAAGCAAATAAAACCAAAAGGCAAATTCTAGGAATCAATAACTAGAATAAAAACTGGGCAAAGACTAAATCAAAATAAATAAAGAAACCAAACTAGAGGCTTGAGAAAACTAGAGCAAACATAAAGACAGGAACTAGACTACAGCAAAATAAAAACAAAGAAACCCTAATAAACTTCAAGAGAACTAAATGCAAAGCTAGACTGACTAGGAGAGTAAAATATAACACTACTAATATGACAAGTAGACTGACAAAGAATTATCTTACACACAATGAACTAATGCAACGAACCAGCAGATACATGAGGGAAGAGGCACACTATAAAGGAGCAGAACACATGAGGAACAGGTGGACACAATCAAGTTAATGAGGACTAGACTAGGACTAAACAAGGGGGTGTGGTAGAGGGAAACAAGGGGGCAGGACGAGAGGAGCACATGGCCAACATAAACAAAGACAAAGCCATGTGCTCAGACACAAGACAAACAAGGAAACGTTAAACAAAGACAGAACAGACATGACCGTCAGGGCAGGACCCTGACAGTACCCCCCCTCGAATGGACGCCTCCAGGCGTCCACACTGGGTGAAGGAATCCAAGGGAGAACTGGGTTAATTAGGGACCAAGAAGGTACCAACTGGGGGGGCAGGTGGGGAGGAAAGATTGGAGGTCCAGAGTAGCCAGGAAACACAGGGGGCAGGGCTGGGAGGGCAGAAAACAGTCCAGGGGAATATCTTGGGACTGCCCAAAAAGGTGGTAACTTTGGAGGAGCATGACAGCCAGGCAATACTGAGGGTGAGATAGGAACCCGATTAGTGACACCTCTAGAGATAGGGGCCCTCTTCACTAGTGGGGACTCCCAACTGGGTTTGGTGTCTCGAATAGATACAGTCACTTGATTACGGAAATGCTCAGGAACAAATTCAGGAGCCATAACTGCACTTGTGGGTAATGAGGATAACTTTGACGACTCCTGCACCAATATGACATCATGCACCGTTTCAGAGGCTCCATCAGATCTAGATGTACACAATGCTGGGGCTAATACAGACTTCTTGACTGTGTTTTGACTGGCAGAAATTATCTCTTTGGGTGGGTCATGGCTAGTGAGCAGCTCAGGGGTAGCCTCCGTGGCTATAGCAGGCAGATCAAGATGCCCAGAAATAGCCTCCGTGAACAGGGCTGGAGCAGATTCTGAGGAAGTAACATCACTGTCAGGTTCAGTTTCTGTGGTTATGACTAGACTGGATGATAGGCCCAAGGCGGTCTCTGTGGCCTTAGCAGGCAGACATGAATGCTTTGGAATGACCTCCATGGCCAGTTCATGAAAGGTTTCTGTTGAGGCAGCAGTGCTGATTAGAGTGCCCACCTTGGACAAAACAGGTCTCAAATAATTCAGATGGTGCAGTCTCAGGTTCCTTCAACACAGGCTTAGCTGGTGACGTGGGGGGGTTATGGGTGGTTTCTACACT